GCTACCAAATACATCCCTGACACATGGAAGATGCTGAATTTTAGCCAGTTTTGGAGTTAAAACTTCATTGCAGAACAACAAGAAAGATTTTTCTACCTCCCTGCATGCCATCTGACTCCTCCAAGAAAGGACTTTTACCTGATCTACAGATCAAAGAGCTACTCAACACAGCTCACATAGGCATTCTCCTGGACCCAGAGGGAAAGCTTTCCATCTCTAGCTCCCTCTGTACAAAAATGAAGTTTATTTCCTACCTATGGAGACTTTTTACCATCTATACTTTTTCCAGAGCATGACGAAGAGCCATTGAGCCCAAAAGCCTGCAGAAAAGGATATTTTTTTATCAGTTGGTCTAATAAAAGGTATCATTATGGAACCAAGAGTTCTAGATCTTTGTATTTCTTTTTGTCTCAGACCAACATGACTACCAAGTACATCCCTTATACTTTTGGAAACATTTTCTTTTGGTTCTGCTGCTGTGGGGCTGATACTACTGCTTATTACAGTATGACCTCATATATCCCGCATGCTTGGGACCAAACAACTGCTGGAAATTTGAAAATTCTGGATTTTTCAAACTGGAGCGGCAGCCAGTCATGGAGTGGGGGCAGAAGAGGAGGGCGAAGCAGCGGCGGGTTGTCCCGGAGCAGCGGCCGCATGTGGAGTGGCAATGCGGGGTGATGGATGGTGGTGACAGCCGCCACATACAAGCTTCCCCTTCTGCTGCTCCAGGACCGGCCACTGCTACTCTCTGATGTAGTGTATTTTTAAAAAGTGCTGGATTTTTGAGAATTCTGGATTTCTGATATCTGGGTTTATGAATATCAGGGATCCTGGTTTTCTCTGATTAAAAAAAAAACCAAAACCCTCAAATTCTCTGATAAAAAAATCACAAATTCCCTGAGAAAACCCCAAAATCTGTGATTAAAGGCCCCCCACAACTCCCGCAGCCCTGCTCGTGCCCCGCCCCAGCCCTGCTGGGTGGCCTCCCAGCTGCCAGGGCTATGGGGCCAGGGACCTGGGTCTGCAGCTCCGTACCTGCAACAGAAGGCAGCAGCTGCTGCAGCAAAGCGAAACTCAGTTCCCCTGTTGCCTGCCTGCTGTGGGCTTAGGTGGGTGAGGAGGTGGCTCACTGCCACTGTACACATTTCTTGGGGCCAGGGGGAACCTCTACCCCCCCCAGATCTGTGCACGGAGTGGGTGAATGCTGCAGGCTTGGGTCCCTGCTGCTGCCCTCCCCCAGGGCCTCTGTAGCCCAGTGGATGCAACCTGGCACTGCAGGGAATGGCAAAGCCATGCATAGACCTCATTAGCACTGTGAGTTCCACGCTGTGCTCGTGATGCATCCTCTGCATGTGTGGGACTGTAGGGAGGGACACAACCCACAGCAGTGCCCTCACTGCTGCCATCACCAGTGCAGCACAGAGTTCACAGTGACAAACAACTTTCTTGCATGGCCCCACTATGCCCTGCAGTGCTGGGTTGCACTTGCTGGGCTGCATAGACCCCAAGGGAAGGCAGCAGGGCAGGGAGCCCAAGCCCACAGTATGCACCCGCACTTGCCCCTCACAGATCTGGGGGGCACATGCCCCTCCTGCGCCCTGGGAGTGCATGCAACTGTGGGGAGGCGGCTGCACCCCCATCCCTGGACAAGCTTCCCTCAGCCCCATATTGCTCCGCATCAGAGCCTTGCAGCCATGCATTGTGGTCCCAGGCTTCAAGCCCCATGCACCATCCAGCTGGGCAGCAGCCCCAGCCCTGCCCAACCCTCAATCCCTCCCTATGGGGGCCTCAATCCCCCCCCCCCACTTACCTGCAGGAGCTGCTCTCCAGACTGCATGGGGCCCCTTGCCTCACCACCCTCTTCCCACTCCCTCGCAGCCCTTTGAAGGCTGGAACTCTGCCAGCCTGCAGAGAACTCATTGCAAAACTGCAACATCCGCAAGTTTCTCTGCTAAAATGAGAAATCTGTGTTTTACTCTGGTAAGGGGGGAAAATCTGCATTTTACTCCATTTTTCCATGGGAAACAGAAAACCCAGATCTCTGTTTATTATACTAAACATGACTCTTTCTCTGGCTTTTTTTTTTGACCTTCCTACTGGATTTTTTTTCATACAGCTGTTTCCCTTTGCCAAAGCACACTTTAGCACACGTATAGTATTGTTAATGTGGGTGACTGCAGCACCTACCACACTGGGCCACTTGTTCTAGACTGGAAACCTAGGAACTATTGCAATTACAAGATGAATAACTATGGAGGCAGTGGTAGCCGCATCATAATTGAAGACATCCAACTACTTTGTTATGCTTGAAGAATGGAGTGCATTTTCCAGAAAAATTATAGCAGTCATTCAGAAAAATGTTCTCCTACAGAGAAGATCATAAAGATTTGTTTGTCTTTTTAAATGTTTGGCTTGGGTTTTGACAATATAAAATATCTTTAAAAAATCAATTGTATTTAATTTGGAACCAGAAATACTAATCATAATTATGCGGTACTGAATGATGTCAAGAAGAACAGAGTTGTTTGGGTTTACAAACCTGTACTTCTTCCATATCTTAACAAATTTAGATTGATTTTGTTTTACCCATCATGCTTAATTTCCTCAATTTATAATGTTTGTTCCAGGGCTCATTACAACATCCCTGTAATAACTTATGCTAAATTACTGATACACAGTTTCCCAGTGAATCTGAATGTTGGTTTTGCTGCTGAAGTAAGGGGGTAAATACTTGCCACTTCTTGGCTGACTAGACATGAGGCTAGGATGAGAACCAAAGATCTTATACAAAATTTTAGTGATGATCCAGTACACCATTTTTTTGTTTGTTTGTGCCATAGTAGCACCAGGGGCCCTAATGTAAATCAAGACCTCATTGTATTAGGTAGGAAGCCTCTCCTTTCCCTCTTTCTGTCATATATATTTGTCTTGAAAAAAAAATTATTGATTGCTGTTTCTATTTCCTATAAATTTATCCTTCTTTTCTTTGGGGCATGCCTCAAGCTCCTGCTGCATCTTCAGGAGTGAGATTCCTGCACAAATGTTGCCTTTGTAGACTTGCCAATTTCTAGCTCTTTGGAGATATCTTGTAAGATTAGCACTAACACAAATGTCTTCTTACAGAGTCTGGAGGATATCTTGTTTGTGGGTATTTCTTGTTTATCATTTATATTTTCTGATTTTCTGAAAAACAGCATGGCCTGCCACACCAAAGTCCCCACCCCAGTGGACCTTTGCAACAGGTATGAACCTCTTGCAGCCCCAGCAGAGCCTACCAAGCTGCCAGCTCCTTCAGGCAAACAGGCTCAACTGTAGCTACCGCCCCCACTGTCCCTAAGACAAAATGCAAAGTGTTTGTCATGGGAGCCTCCATCCTGAGGGGGACTGAGGGGGCAATCTGCCACCCTGACCCCTTAGCCCGAGAAGACCATTCTTGACAAACTGGCTGAAGGCAACATCCTGAGGGATAGCCAGAATGGGTTTGTTGCAGGTAGGTCCTGCTTGACCAATCTTATTTCCTTTTATGACCAGGTGGCCTAACACCTGGACAAGGGGAAGAGATTGATGTCATATATCTTGACTTTAAAAAGCCTTCAATCTGGTATCCCGTGATCACCTCCTAGCAAAACTGACTAATTGTGGCCTCAGCCTCACCACGGTCTGCTGGCTGGGGAATTGGCTCTGTGGTAGGACCCAGAGGGTGGTGGTTGATGGAAGTCAGTCATCATGGTGCCCTGTGACCAGTGGGGTCCCTCAAGGCTCTGTCCTTGGGCCTACACTATTCAACGTTTTCATTAATGATATGGACATTGGTATCAGAATCAGACTGGCCAAGTTCGCCAATGACACCAAACTCTGGGGTAAAGCATCCACACCTGAGGACAGGAGGGTGATCCAGGCAGACCTTGACAGGCTCAGGAAATAGGCGGATGAGAACCTGATGGTGTTTAACACCAAAAAATGCAAGGTTCTCCACCTTGGGAAGAAAAACCTGCAGCATTCTTATAGGCTTGGCAGTGCTATGCTGGCTAGCACTATGGGTGAAAGGGACTTGAGGGTTGTGATTGACCACAAGATGAACATGAGCCTTCAATGTGATGCTGAAGCTAGTAAGCAAGCAAAATGCTGGCTTGCATCCATAGATGTTTCTGAAGCAAATCCCAGGATGTCATTCTCCCATTGTACTCAGCCTTGGTGAGGCCGCAGCTGGAGTACTGCGTCCAGTTTTGGGCTCCACAATTCAAAAAGGGTGTGGAGAAGCTTGAGAGAGTGCAGAGGAGAACCACATGCATGATCAAGGGTCAGGAAAACAGACCTTATGATGAGAGGCTGAGAGCCATAGGACTCTTCAGCCTGGAATAGCGCAGGCTCAGCAGCGATCTGGTGGCCACCTGTAAGTTTATCGGGGTGCTCACCAGGATCTGAGGGAACATCTGTTCACCGGAGCATCCCAAGGGATGACAAGGTTGAATGATCACAAATTCCTCCATGCCAGTTTCAGGCTGGACACAAGGAAGAACTTCTTTACTGTCCAAGCCCACAAGGTTTGGAATAGACTGCCACTGGAGGTGGTTCAAGCACCTACTTTCAACACCTTCAAGAGATGATTGAATGTTTATGTTGCTGGGATCCTATGATCCCTGCTGACTTCCTGCCCCTGGGGCAGGGGGCTGGACTCGATGATCTTCTGAGGTCCCTTCCAGCCCTAATGTAATGTCTATTACATTTATACTAGTATAAGTGATTGGAAACCAGTCTATACCTGTAACTGGATGGAAGTTCAGTGCACATAGACGGGTTAAAAAATGGCAGATCCCAGTCCATGTTACATCGGAACAATGTGGTATCAGACTTAAGTGATTTAGATCTATCAGATGTCTCTACCATATTCCCTAGTGACTCAGGTTAGGTTGCAGTCAAGTGACATTCCAGGCTGCTTTGTGGGACCCTGCTAACCCCACTTTACAGAGGGATGCACTAACCTCAGACCTCACTCATCTCCTCCCAAGCTCTCACAGAGATGAGCCAGAAACGATGCTGTCCCCAGCCCTACCTACTGTCTGTGACAGTCAGCAACAAGTAGCAAGTGTGCTGGCTTAGGTCTGGGTGGGCTGAGGCTTCGTGCTGGGAGGCCTTAGCTCCCCTGTCCCCACTGCCTGGTTACCTGGGACAGCCACAGGCAGGAGGCAGGTCTGGGGGCCATGCTAGGCAGTGTGGGGAGGGGAAAGGGCTTTGCTGTGCATCCCCAGCTCTGGCCCCCACAGACCTGAGACAACAGAGCTTGAGGGGGCT